GCATTGTCTGCACCCTTCTGTCAGAACCCTGGTTTGAGAACCAGGTCTGATCTGGTGGCATCATGTCGGTACTGTTCTTCTATGTTATGTGCCTGTGCTGAAAACTGGGAAGTTAATGGTAGCTTGAGATAGCTGAGCGTTAACAAACCTGCTGAGTTCCTGATGCTCAAGGAGATGGTTTTCCTGTCTTGCCCATACCTGTTCCACCTGACAAGGTGATGTTGTTGTCAAGTGCCGTCGTTGAGTCAGTTCCCACCCATAGCGACCCTGTATAGGGTTTCCAAGGAGCAGCTGGTGAGCTTGAACCACCGACCTTGCAGTTCAAATGGCTTTGCAGTCTCGCGCATTACCCACAGCACCACACCAGGACTCTGACAAGGTAATAGTTTCTTCTTATTTGGAGGTTTTATGTTTCTACCACAGCCAGCAATCCTTCTTCCTGTCCTCCAAAGGCCTACCTCTAGAAGACAATGGCGGTGTCCTCTGCATTGTAATGTGTGTTTATGAACGGGTAGTGATGATTTGAGACTTGATGTTTTTAGAACTAAGAGGAGTAGAGAGATTTTTCTCTGCTTCTGCATGAGTCCTTTCCTTTAGCCCAGCACCAGCGGCCTGGAACCCTTCAGTTACCCTTTTGAATTTTGTTTTACAGGCATTGCAATTTTTTTAAATTACTAGGTAAATGTAAAGAGAAGTAAGATGTTGTTGTTAAAATTAGACAGTTTTCTCAAAAAAAGTGCAGAAAAGGTAAAACAAATACCTCAAGTACTTACAAGTGTCATCTAGTCAGTTCTAACTCATGGAGACCCTGTATAGGATTCCAGGGAGTCCTGGTGTGGCATGGCAGGTTAATGCGCTGGACTGCAAAGTCAGTTTGAACCGCAAAGTTGGCGATTCAAATTCACCAACCACTCCTCAGAAACCCTATGCAGGGTTGCTTGCTATGAGTCACAACTGACTTGATGACACTTAACAACAGTAGGGTTCCGAGGAGCAGTCAAATAGATCTGGCAAAAACATCTGTCACCATTTTTTCAGGAAGCCTGTCTGCCTTATTTTTCCTGTCTTGATTCTCTTTTTTATTGTACCTTTGAAAACAATGGCATAATCCTTCTCCTTCTCCCAATTCATTCTAATGTTGTCTGTGTTCCGAAATGCTGTTTCTATAAAATGTGTGTGGTAACTTACTCCTTCTATAGCAGTTTTGCTTCTTCAATCTTCATACTGTTTACTGTTGGTCCCCTTTCCATCCACTCCCTAATTTATTCCATTCTTTTTTGTATTCCTGGATGAACACCTGTGTTCACATTCTTCTGGAATTCTGCTCTTAGCTACCTCTCTACTGGAGTCTTCTCATATTTCCTTAGCAGCATGAACAGCTGTTATTCTTGGTGACTGAATTCTAATATTGCTTCTACTCAGCTGCATTTCTAATTAGTCAACAACTTTTGGGAAAGATTGTTTTTTACCCTTCCGGCATTTGAGTGGACTCATTTCAAAAACTGAAAGAGAAACATAAAATCAGGAGGCTGAAAGGAGCTTCAGAAGATCATCTATGTGTGACCCTCATAAGTGGTGCTGTTCTGCATAAAGACATCCTAGCAAGCAGAAAGCATGGTAGAAACAAAAGACTCAGTATGAACCGTAAGGTCAGTGGTTCAAACTCACCAGCCACCTACTTGGAAACTCCTATACAGGGTCATTGTGAGTCAGAACTGACACAATGATACATAACAACAACAACAACATGGAGTTCTAAGAGTCCTGGTATGGTGCTGTAATCTGTACTGCTAACCACAAGGTTGGCAGTTCAAAACCAGCTGCTCCTCAGAATTCCTTTACAGGGTCGCTATGAGTTGGAACCAACTTGACGGCAATAACAGTAACACCACCACATGGAGTAAGAGGTGACAACAGACAGGAAATCAGAAGACAAGTTTAAATACTTGTTCTATCGTTTTCTAGCTTTGTCAACTTGTCAACATGGACAAGTTGCTTAAGTTCGCTGAACCTCGGTCAGTTTCTTATTTTGTAGGGTGGGGAGACTACTTCCTGTGTCCATAGCATGGCAGCTGCTGGCCAATAGGTACCATTTCACAAAAGATTAAAATGTTCCCCATGGTGTCAATAGAAGGGCACAAGACAGAGTCCAGCCTCCATTTACCCTTGAACTGGGCACCCTGGTGTACTGTATAACCTTAACCAGGTGTAGCTGCCCAGTCCCAGAGGTCCGCATCATCCATTCGCAGAGTAGGCCTTGGGGTAAGGGTGGACAGAAGGCCCCCCAGACTGTTTGGCAGAGATTTAGCACCTTAAGAAGGTATCTGTCTTTTTTACCCTCTAAGAGATCTTGGTATTACATAAACTTCTCTATATTTTTATCACACCATTAACATATTAACATAGTAGCTTGAAGGTGTCACTCTTGGAAAACATGCTCTGGGAAGCATTCCTATCCCCTGTGGATTCCTGCCTCAGCTTCACAGATTGTTAGAGTATTAAATGAGATCACATATGGTAAATCATCTGGACTATGATCCCAAATGCTGCATTTCTTAGTGGATTTTCTCTTACGTTACTTTAGGCTCTGCTGGCATTTCTCTAGGCTTTCCCCTACTATTCTCTCTTCCAGTGGTTTCTAAAGTAGGGTGCTTGACCTTCCAAGGAATATGAAAGTTGATCCAGTGAGGTAGGTATGAGAGAATGAAAAAATATATATATTTATAGTTATTTAAAAATTAAAACTGAGTCAATTCCAGTTCATGGCAATCCCATGTGTGTCAGAATAGAACTGTGCTCCCTGAGGTTTTTAATTGCTGATATTTGGGAGCAGATTGTGAAGGTTTTCTTCTGTGGCTCTTGTGGGTGGACTCAAATCTCAAACTGTTCATTAGAAGCAAAGCACCTTCACTGTTTACACTACCCAGGGACTCTACAATTTAAAATGTTGTTGTTAAGCACTGTCGAATTGGTTCTGACTCATAGCGACCCTGTATAGGGTTTCTGAGGAGCAGCTGGTGGGACTGAACTGCTGACCTTGTGGCTCTAACTGATCTTGCCATCAGTGCATTATCAAGCAGTGCCATACCAGCACTCCACAATTACAAACTGACACGCTCATTTATATATAAATGGGTGGGCATGCTCAGTTTACTTCATGTAGCCACAGAACTCTCTGAATGCAAATACATTTGTTATTCGTCCTTACCTTCTTTTGAGTTATATAGTAAGGCATTTCTCCCTCTGTTATCTTTCAGGACAGAGACTTATAACTCGTCTAGTGAAACTTCCTTTTTTCAAATTGGGGTCCTTGTGGTTTAATCACAGATATAAAATAAAATAACAATATAAGGTCTGGATCCAGGTGGCCTAGGCTGAATAACATAAAGCAAGTTCCTTAACCTTTCTGTGCTTTGGTTTTCTCATCTGTAAAATGGGAATAATCAGAGAACCTGCTTCTTGGGGTTAATGTAACAATTAAGAGTTAAAATCTATAAGGCTCTGATAGAGTCAGTCATATATTAAGAACAATAAAAGTTTGTTGTTACCATAGCTTTAATCACTATCCTCATCTATGTCTCTAGGGGAGATGTCCTCTATACCCAAATGTATATGGGAACAGAAGGACTAGTCTTATCCCTGGACTAAATTTACTTAGTCAACAAATATAAACTAGTAGTCTCTTATGTATCAGACACTTTGCTAAATGTTGGATGCTCCACTCCATTGTCAATCTTGTGCTCTGTTTGATGGTCTCTCTCCCTCATCACCAGTTTGTGGTCACATTTCCATGCCACGGCAGACCACTTTCCAATGGGCTTAGTTTCTGTGTCTAGAAAGAAAGAGAACTAAGTCTTTGGTGTGAAGAATCACTAATCACTGTGAGTTTCTAGCCATTTGACATTTTAAGATACAAATAGACTTTTCTCCTACATTATTAATTCAATATGTCATTGCTGTCAACTCCTGGGTTATTATTTCCTTCTCTGAACTGTTTATTTATTGTCTGAATAGTTCTGCTTTCATAGATTTCTACCTGGGGATTGTTCCTCCATATTAACTCAAAGTCTGTTCTTCCTATCCTATCTCATCTTCAAAAGAGAAGTTTCCATTTCACCTTCCCATATCACAATTTTATGAGACCATTGAACATTCTTACAGCTTAATATTCCTTTCAACAAATTGAACATTGGTAGAAGAATAGAGGTACTCTATGTGATATGTATGAAAAGATAGCAAGTTTGGAGTTCTGGTATGCTGTGGGTTAATGCGCTAGACCGCAAAGTCGGTTTGAACTGCAAGATTGGTAGTTCAAACTCACCAGCTGCTCCTCGAAAACCCTATACAGGGCTGCTGTGGGTTGGAACAGACTCAACAGCACTTAACAACAACAACATGTAATATGTGTGAAAAGATAGCAAGTTTAGATTTTTGAACACTTCTGTATTCTCTCTCTTCTTCTCAGGAAATGACTTATAAAAGCTCAATTAAATTTCTGTTACGTTAAAGCCATTCATTGTTGTCTATGCATATAGGGATATGAGTAGGGAAAAAAGGAGAGATAATGAAGATGGGGGCTCCTTCTATATTTCCTCCTTCCAATCCCTTTACTCCTTGTACAAAAAGTAGCGATATATTCTTGGAGATCATCTAGTTGAAAACTAAGTCTGATAAGAGGACACACTTCCCAAACCAAAGACTAATTCTCCCAGGCTCTAGCGAGAAAAAATTTATAAATACAAGCATGTTCCCTAAATATTATGCTGTAACATATTCTATGTCCTAATACATAATTGCTATGCTTTGTGTCATACACGAGGTTGGCTATTTCATCTTTCAATATAATGGGCTAAGAATAAAATCTTGGTGCTGGAATTGAAAGTTGTATTCTCCAGACAAAGGAAATAGACATTTATTGAATGCTACTGCTGCGTTCTTAGCACTAATGACATTATGAAAGCTCTTTGAGTTATATAATTTGAAATATTTCTGTCTTTCAGGTCATGCAGGACAAGATCATCTGCCTCCCGAAAAGAGTACAGCCTGCTCAGAACCATTCTTCTGTTTCAAATGTCTCTCAAGCAGTTGCCAGTACCACCCCACTACCTCCACCTAAACCATCTGCTACTAACCCTGCCACTGTGGAAATGAAAGGACTGAAGACAGATCTGGACCTTCAGCAGTACAGTTTTATAAACCAGATGTGTTATGAGCGAGCCCTGCACTGGTATGCCAAATATTTCCCTTACCTTGTCCTCATCCATACCCTGGTCTTCATGCTCTGCAGTAACTTCTGGTTCAAATTTCCTGGATCCAGCTCCAAAATAGAACATTTCATCTCAATCCTAGGGAAGTGTTTTGACTCTCCCTGGACCACACGGGCTTTGTCTGAAGTATCCGGAGAGGACTCAGAAGAAAAAGATAATAGGAAAAACAACATGAGCAGATCCAACACCATCCAGTCTGGTCCAGAAGGCAGCTTGGTCAACTCTCAGTCCTTAAAGTCAATCCCTGAGAAGTTCGTGGTTGACAAAGCCACTGCAGGGGCTCTGGATAAAAAAGAAGGTGAGCAAGCCAAGGCCTTATTTGAGAAGGTGAAGAAGTTCCGGCTGCATGTGGAAGAAGGTGATATCTTGTATGCTATGTATGTTCGTCAGACTATATTTAAGGTTATAAAATTCCTGATCATCATTGCGTATAATAGTGCTCTGGTTTCCAAAGTTCAATTTACGGTAGACTGTAATGTTGACATCCAGGACATGACCGGATACAAAAACTTTTCTTGCAATCATACCATGGCACATTTGTTCTCAAAACTTTCTTTTTGCTATTTGTGCTTTGTAAGTATCTATGGATTGACGTGCCTTTATACCTTATACTGGCTGTTCTACCGTTCTCTAAGGGAATACTCTTTTGAGTATGTCCGGCAAGAGACCGGGATTGATGATATTCCAGACGTGAAAAATGACTTTGCTTTTATGCTTCATATGATAGATCAGTATGACCCTCTCTATTCCAAGAGATTTGCAGTGTTCCTATCTGAAGTCAGTGAAAACAAACTAAAGCAGTTGAACTTAAATAATGAGTGGACTGCCGATAAACTGAGGCAGAAGCTCCAGACAAATGCCCATAACCGCCTGGAATTGCCTCTTATCATGCTCTCTGGCCTTCCAGACACTGTTTTTGAAATCACAGAGTTACAGTCTCTCAAACTTGAAATCATTAAGAATGTAATGATTCCAGCCACAATTGCACAGCTAGACAATCTCCAAGAGCTCTCCCTACACCAGTGCTCTGTCAAAATCCACAGTGCAGCTTTATCGTTCCTGAAAGAGAATCTCAAGGTCTTGAGTGTCAAGTTTGATGACATGAGGGAGCTGCCCCCCTGGATGTATGGTCTCCGGAATCTGGAAGAGCTCTACCTAGTTGGTTCTCTAAGTCATGATATTTCCAAAAATGTCACCCTTGAGTCTCTGAGGGATCTCAAAAGCCTTAAAATTCTCTCCATCAAAAGTAATGTGTCTAAGATCCCCCAGGCGGTGGTTGATGTTTCCAGTCATCTCCAGAAGATGTGTATACACAATGATGGTACCAAGCTGGTGATGCTCAACAACTTGAAGAAGATGGTCAATCTGACAGAGCTAGAACTGGTCCACTGTGACTTGGAGCGAATTCCGCATGCTGTGTTCAGTCTGCTGAGCCTCCAGGAACTGGACTTGAAGGAGAATAATCTAAAGTCTATAGAAGAAATTGTTAGCTTTCAGCACTTAAGAAAATTGACAGTGCTTAAACTATGGCATAACAGCATCGCCTATATCCCAGAGCATATAAAGAAACTCACCAGCCTTGAGCGTCTATCTTTTAGTCACAACAAAATAGAGGTGCTGCCTTCCCACCTCTTTTTATGCAACAAAATCCGATACTTGGACTTATCCTACAATGACATTCGATTTATCCCACCTGAAGTAGGAGTTCTACAAAGTTTACAATATTTTTCCATCACTTGCAACAAAGTGGAGAGCCTCCCAGATGAACTCTACTTCTGCAAGAAACTGAAAACGCTAAAGATTGGGAAAAACAGCCTATCAGTACTTTCACCGAAAATTGGAAATTTACTATTTCTCTCCTACTTAGATGTTAAAGGCAATCACTTTGAGATCCTTCCTCCTGAATTGGGTGACTGTCGGGCTCTGAAGCGAGCTGGTTTAGTTATTGAAGATGCTCTGTTTGAAACCCTGCCTTCTGATGTCCGGGAGCAAATGAAAACAGAATAACTTATTTTTCTTTAAAGTTTGACTGAAACACGCTACTACCAAATACAGTATAAATAATTAGGTAGTCTTAATGCCTTTCCTTTTTTTTTTTTTTCTTTTTAACAAAAACAAAATGTACACAAGATTGAGTAAGGAGTATGTATATTTTTAATAAAAATTTACCTGTATTTTTTTCAGTATTAATATTTTAAAGTTTTATTTGTCTTGGAACCTGCATTATCTATTGGTGTGTTTTTTACTGACAGAAATAGATGGTTCCATTGGGTCTTTTGTTTTGTTGTTGTTTATTCAGTTCATTGTTGTGAACAGGAGGACATTTTGAGTTGCATGCTCTTTGGTATTTTTGTAATACACAAAGATATTTTGCCAAGGTCATTGTTCACTTGTTTACAGCTGTACAGGGTCTTATTTTTGTTTCCATTGTGTGTTGTAGACCAAGGAATTCATGCTAATTATTTTAATACTAACTGCCTTCTCCATTAACTGAATCCTTCGTTCTATACATAAAATTTATGTGAAATATAAATTCACAAAAGTGCTTTGTCACGGTATTGTTTTTGAAATTCCCCACCCCCTTCACCAGAACCCTAAATTATGTTAGTTCATATACCTAACAATTACACTTATTTTGTGAGTAGGTGAAGACAGTAATCTTCAATGGTGGGCCTTCTTGAATTGATCATCTATAATTTAACTGATTTGTATTTTTATCAACATTTGAAAAAACTATACACAGAGGCTTCCTCCCCACTGCCCAGCCCCCTTTAATCTCAATACTGCTATGTAGTACTGGTGAATACCTTAGAGAAATTAGGTTTATTTTAATATTCTAGTCAATAATTAAATTTGAAAATCATAGAATTAGAAGTCTGGTTTTGAGTAATTTAATCATATTTGTAATCATCTTTGATACATTAGTATGTGGGTGCATTTGTTGGAAAAAATTTCACTCTAAAGCTTTGTTACATAGCTGGTATGCTCCACCCAGGCTATCTCTCTTCCTTTGAGCAGAGCGGCAGTGGTACTCAATTCAAGTTCTGCCTATTGCTCAAAATAAACTTCCAATATGTTCATCTATTTCCCTGAAGCCTGGCCAGGCTGGAAATGCTAGTGATGCAAGCTTTGCTCTCTTTGGCTTAAAGTAAGCATCTCATGTAAAACAGTTCTGTTATTTTTTTCTTTTTTAAAGTAAGTACATTGCCAAGTGAGTGTCACTTAGCAATAATTTCGACCTGGTGATCAACAGAGCTTTTATTTGTCTTAGTATTTAAAATCCAACAGAGTGTAGGTCTTGAGCAAATTTTTTCACTAACTATTAAGCTGTGTTGAACAAGGAAATGAAATATACCATTTGTATTTCAACTCAAGACCAGTCAGTACTACTGATCGTAGGAACTTTGTTTATGCATCAAATTCACATTGACCTTGTTTCAGATTCCTTGTCTAATTCAAGAAACATTTGTGATTTAATGAATGAATCTAGGAACAAAATTAAAGGGTTTCGAAATGCTATTTAAAAAAAAAAAAAAAATTGCTCCTTGATCCTGGTGGATTTGCGCAATGCCTTACTGACTGATATACAGAATGCAGCTCAGCTCAGCAGATGCATGCACCTCAGCCATGTTTTGATTTTTGTGACACATCATGAGGTAAAGGATTAGGGAAAGACCTGCTTTCCATTTGTTTAATAATCTAATCCTGTAGGCCAAACTGCACTACAGTTTTGCTGAGCGTTGAAGTTTTAGAATGGTGGTTTCACATAGCTAATTTACTTGCCTGTTGTGCACACTGGAAAATGAAACATAACATATTTAAAATAGTAGCATGGCCCCATTTCTTATATGATAAAATATTCCATTCCAGAATATTGTTGGGATCCTGATTATGAACAGTGTGTTGTATTTAGAAATATAAACAAAAACAGAAATCTTGGCAGATTGTCCACGGCCAAGCAAGGCAAAAATACCCTGTTAAAAGGTCAGCTGAGACAGCTGCTGGTAATACACTGGGTGCACTCCTTTTCTGGAGAAAAATAAAGTTATTTTCTACAAAGCCCCTTCAAAAGGGATCTATTCAGGTTAAAAATCATATTTATGCTGAAGTCTTTGTCTGGTGTTCATTGATAATCTCATATGGATTTATAACTGAAAAAGGTTACTACTAATAATTAGCTATTATCTCTTGTAGCAAATTGCTCAAAATTCCAAAAGAATTTGACTTGTTTTCTTAATAAGTTCACTGACTGACCCCTAACAGGTTTTAAATAATATATAGTACATAAGTACAATTCTATGACTCTCTGTTAGCTAAAATAGAAAATTCTTAAATGTTTCTATTAGATTTTATAAAATTTCAAAAGTCTCAGACTTGATTCTGAGTCTACATTTCCTGACTCTGACCATTTTTAGTTTTGTAGTATTTTGTTCGCACTCATAAGTAAAAAGCATTCAATTGCTGTTTAGCCTTTAAACGGGAAACTCAGGTAAATGAACTGCTGACTTTTCTAACATCCTTTAACTGATCAACTCAGTATATAGGGATATTTACCTAATCACTTTTCGTATTTTACAAGTGCTCTTGCTAAAAAGGAACAACTGGCTCTATTTCTCCAACTTTATAGGGTTCATGAGAAATTGCTTGTGTAAATATAAAAACACCATATTCATAATTCCTATGGCTGTTTGCAGCCCATGGTGGGTAAGCTCTTCCGTCAGTGTTGATGGTTGCATGTTAAACAAACAATTGTCCAGTTGAAACTGAGTATATAAGTACACATATATCCCAATAGAACCCACCTAAGAAGAATACACCTCAGAAAAGTAATGCAGTTTCTTGTTATGTATTGTGAGTTTTGTTTTGTTTTGTTTTTAACCTAGCACCGTCAATATGAAGGTTCTTGCTACAGTCAAACCTGCCTGCTACTGACTTATAAAATTGTCTTATTGTTCACCTCTCCTTTTCCCTGTCATTAAGTTTCCCAGGTAGCTATTTTAATGAGTTCTACCAATTTTCATGGCATCCAGTGCAGCAGGTACAACTTTTGCAGAAAGGCCTTGTTTTGAGGATTTTGTTCCTTTAGAGCTGCCTTCTTTGTGGAAGGAAGCTTAAATAACCTGAAATGTTCTCTGGGTTACCTGGGATGAGAGAAGTGTAAGTTCTTGTTAAAGTAAAAACAAAAATATACAAGATGTTTTATTTGTATCATTACCATTTCCCTTAAGAACAGTTTTGCTATTATTTTCCTAATTCCATCCTAACAAAAGGGCATTCTTTGTATAGTTTATTTTAAACTCTTAATTGCATACCAAATACCTGATAAATAGTAATAGCATATTTATTAAAATTATCAACAGCCATAATCCTTCATTATGGTAATTGTCAGCAGTGTTTTGTGATAGTGAACAAATAAGCTAAACTTCCATATTTAGGAATTAACGAGTCAGCCAACATTCTCTATTAATCCAGAAAGTGAAAATGCTGTTCAAACAGTTCACATTTTTAGTGGAATCTCAATAACTCAGGGTAGAGTTCCAGACTAACCTTCCAACATAAATTTGCAAATTAACACTGTTGTTGGAAAGGGGGACTGCCTCAGAGGTTTATAGGATTCTCTCATCTTTTCTTGTCTATTCAGAAGCATTGTAAGAAATGTTGACAGTCTCAGACAGACCTGCCACTGATTTTTCAAACGTAGGACTCAGTAACCTGCTTCTAGTCCAATGTCATGCAAGCCTTCTAAAGTAGATACACACACTCTTCCTCCATCTTCCAGGGCCTTCCACTGATCAAAGTGGTTCTTGTTATGTGCCCTCAACTCAGTTTTGACTCATAGAAACCCTGTACAGGGTTTCCAAGGAGTGGCTGGTGGCTTTGAACTGCCAACCTTGTAGTTAACAGTTCAGTGCCGATCCTACAGTGCCACACCAGGACTCCTAATAAAGGTGATGGTTGGTGTTGTTAAGTGTTGTTGAGTCGACTCCCGAGTCATAGCAACCCTCTATAGGGTTTCTGAGGAGCAGCTGGTGATTCTGAACCCCCAACCTTGTGGTTCAAACTGACCTTACAGTCAGATCACACCAAGATCTAATAAAGGTAGTAGCATCCTGAGACTCAGTTGGGGAGGGGAATGCCTGTGCCGTCTCCCACTTCTCCCTCCCCTACTCAAGAAATTTTGTTTCTATCAGAAGACCTTGAAAAAGGATATATAACTTTGGAGAACTAAATTTCATGGTTATGATAAACAACAGCATCTATGCTTGATTTTTAATGTGGTATAAAGATGCTTCTTTCTTCTGAACCACTCCTCATTTTCCACCTGATTCTGCCTCTTGAATGAATATTTTTATTGGGGTTGTAACCTCATGGTTTTTGTGTTCTTTGTTTTCCTTTGCAACTTGTTTTCTCTCATTATGTGGGGGGTTGGATTACCCAATAAAAAAGGTAAGCATGGGCGTACTTATGCCTATTTACTAATCAGTAGTGAACAGGTTCACATGTTTCTCACCACATCATCCAACATTGAGTGCGTCTGTATTTGTTCAAATTGTGTCAAATGCTGGCAAAACCGCTAAGACTGTCAAGAAAATGCTTGAAAGTTGATTGTCTTAATGTAAATTCATGATTAAAAGTCTTCATGTCATTGGGCTATGTAGTACAAGGAAAAAGAAAATAAGTTAAATAAAGTCATTTTTGTAATTTAAAATTGAGTTCTGCCCCTTTCTTATTTGTTTTTAGAAGTAACGTTCATCGTTGTAGGCCTTAAACTGTCCTCAAGGTTCCTTATGTTCTGCAGGAAATAGGCTGCTGAGTGGATACCATGCATTCTTCCACTTTGTGTTTAAGCTAGTTTCTGCAATTGTGACGAATTATTTCCTTCCTTAATTCACTTTACTGCATGTACCTAAGGTGCCCCTGGAGTTTCATTTGGGTAATTAGTTCCTTAATATGTAATCTGGAGTGCATTTTTTGTGCCTTTGCCAGATCAGATTGCACAATGCCTGTCCGGTCTAGCTTTCAGTAAATACTTTGATGGTAATGTAAGACTGTGGTTACTTACAGAAATCAGCCTGGTGCTGCACGGCTAGGAGCCCTCCACTAATTAACTAGCTTCATTTGCTGTAAACTTAGGGAAGCCCACTACAAAACACATTTATGAGCCACTGATGCATAAGAAAATTGTGATT